GATTCTAATATACATCGTCGTGTTTGGTTTTCTCTGACCCCAAATAAGCGTGAAACTGACAGTCACCATGCAATGTTTTTTCCCCTAATGACTCTCTGTGTACAACCCCTCTATCCCACACTGTTGGGTACCTCTTCTACCGTAAATATAGCAAATTTGAAACAAGTTTGATCGACAGATCAATTTTAAACAATATAATTGTCTGTGTGTGTGTGTGTGTGTGTGTGTGTGTGTGTGAAATTTATTGGTATGCTTGAATTTACGTAGTTTGTGATACTTTTGCGGAGATTGAAGAATCGATATTAATAAAATACAAAGATTTACGGGCATATATTTTTAATCATTTCACCCTAAGTGAGGCAGTAAAGCCACTAAGACGCAAGGGGCTACTAAGTGTGAAAGAATAAGAAATAGAGAAACCTTATTAAGGAGGGAGAAAAATCAAAAAAGAGGAATCAAGAAAACAGAAGATGACACCGCATTTAAATTTTGAGATCAAAGCTGACCGGAATCCATGAAGTCAGAAGAGAGAGTTCCACAAGCGAGAAGTGCGAGCGAAAGAATTCTTAGCATGGAGCATACGGTTGCATCTACACAATTCAACTGCAAATTGATGAGGCCTTGTTGCCAATCTAGTACTGCGCTCAAAGTCATTCTAGGTCAAGTTGAAAGATCTGTTCTCGTACGATCACTGAAGTTAAGCAACATCAACCATGGTCAGTACCTAGATGGGTGACCGCCTGGGAATACAGTTACTGTAACCTTGGATGTGCCGGTGATGTAATGGATAACAACTCGTACTTGAGAATAGAAAAGCCAAGTTCCAATTCCAGTTGGGTCCGTAGCATTCATTTACGCACAAATACCCCTTAGGAAAGGTATGACTCCAAATCTTTCCCCCTCCAGCTATGGATTAATTAGTAGGAGTTGTATCCGAAAATTATTATCTCCAAAAATTCTTACAATCTAAAAATATTGTCTGGCTTCAAATAATCTGGAAAATATTGATAAACCGTAAAAAAGCAAACCAATCAATTAAAAAAATATAAGCAGGCATATAAATTCAATTCTCATATTCTGTTTTTCAAACAAACATTCATCAAATACTGTTATGGTCCGGTTCCTTGTACCACGGTGATAGTCCAAGGTAGAACCAATTAAGAAGAACTCGAATACGGATATGGAATAACACAGATATATTACAAACAGGAATATACACAGAGAAGTAGAAAGTGTTAGTACGAACAATCAGGTTTAGTAGTAATTGTCATTTTACTGCCTCTGACTCACTTTTCTGACTGTATTTGACAATTGAACTCCTGATGGACTTCTGACGGACCTCATTCCAGACCAGACTTCGAACCCTCTGCTTCCTCTTGAGGCGCAGTATTTATTACGTGTAAAATATAAATTATGTTTTTAAAATGGTTAAGGTCCCAATAATAATTACATTGTCTTTTACATCTGACTCACTGTACAATTAAGAATCGTTTAATACTGATTCCGCTGTTTAATAAATAAACGGAGCGTTTACTCAAATACGAGTACCCACTAAACATAACGTCTAAAGGGATAAAATTTGTCGGATTAAGAGATCAAAGTCCATTACGTCTTTAGAAAATTGCTTTGTTTACGGAGCTGAGCAGATATGAAAATTTCGAGAGGACTATGACGAGAGGAATTTCTCTTATTC